AAGAGGTCGAAGTTGGCTCTCTTGAAGTCCAGGGTAGCTATCCTACTTCTCGCCCCACCTCCTCCACGCCGGATCGTGAATTCCAACATCTCATGGTCGCTGCAGCCCAGACTGCCCCCAACCCTGTTACCACCGTTGGTTATCAGGAAATACAGTAACGCGCGTGTGAGTCGGGGGCACGTGGTCATAGCTGGAGTGCTGGCCCACTGGAACGCTCCCACAGACAGATTGGATATTTTGACAGCAGGCCAAGGGGGAAAAAAAAACAACTTTGGAAAGGCAACACAGTCCAGATTTCTCAGAGTGGAGCCAGTGAACAGATGGCAGGGACTAAACAGCCCTAAAAAATTCCTTCACGGCCATGGCTATGCTGGCAGCAGCCTGATCCTTTGCCAACGGAGAGCCCCAATGAACGAAGCGCGAGAAGCTTGTAGTCCTTTCAGCCCAGAGGAGCCGAGGAAGAAATTTAATGAGGAAAGGATTAGAAAGATGAACTACTGCAAACACTGGCAGCTGAGCAAGTTAGTATGGGAACCTGCGTAGTCAGCATAGAGAAGGGAGGGACTTTGACAGAAATAGTGTTTTGATCATCACATTTAGGTTATTTTTCATAAAAAACGACATTGTTATCTTGACTGTTCCATGTCACCCACACCCTGCGCCAGGACACAGCTTTAAAGCTTCCCCTTTCCCATTCATCCCACTGAATAGCACCGTCTCTTTCCCCTGAGTTTGGAGACGAGGAGGGGAGAAAGGAAAACTAGAACAGCAGATGATATTAAACAAGACTTGTGAGAGACTTATGACCTGCTTTCTTCACAGAAGCATTCTGTGCACTTAATTCATCAAGATTTAGCTTCAAAGTACTGTTTCAACACTGAAAACTGCGTTTTTCATGAGTTTTGGTGTTCTGCATGAATTCTTCACTAAAGAGACGCTGACAGCACCAAAGTAACTAACTTTTCCCTCGAAAGCTTTGCCTCATTCAACCAGCATGATACCATGGTGGATCCAGAAGAGATGCTCACAGGAAGACACCCACATGTCATAGAATCATTGTGGTATTTGCAAACTCAGCTGTGCTTTGTGCCTGGAGAGGAGAGTGGGCATCATCTCCCACTCCCAGTCCCATCTCTCCATCCATCCTCCTGCTGAAGGACAGGGGTGGAATGATGCCTGCGGGAAGGCTGCCCATGGAGCTGTGGTTGGTTTTCCCTGCCCATCGCTGCCCACGGGGAAGGCGACACATCCTGACCGGGCAGGCAGAAGGGGCTGCAAACACTGAGCTGATTAACCTGGCGCCGCTCTTCGCAGCAGTTCTGCATGAAGATGCCGTGGCAGGTCACTGGGTTGCATAAAGCAGTGTGCTGGAGTCATCCCTGGGAGAACACCTTTCCTCCCAAACACTGCAGGGAGACTCTTTATTCTGTGGTAAAAAAAAGTGAGAGATTGAAGCAAGCTATTAAAGGAGTGAGAGGGATTCAGGGTCTTTTCATTTCTGCTGGGACCTGCCTTATATCCCCAGCCCAGGCTCAGGGGGCAAGAGGACACTTAAAGCCACTTCTCTGCTTTCCTCTCCTGATTGCTCTGCGCTTTCTTGCCTGAGGATCCAGACTGGCCTCTCCTCTATTCACCCTTCCCAGAAGTGCACTTAGCCATAAATGAAAGATTCTAATAATTCAGACATGGGCTCTTGGGAAAGAGCAGGCTGCAATAAATTATGGTCACAGGTTAAGTCATCCAGGTATTGTGTGTGCTCTTAATGGATATCAGAGAAAAAATATACCATCGTGCTTGCAAATAGCCTTCTTTATTTATTTATTTTCCCACAATGTCCATTTTAAATTATATCTATTATTTTCTTTTCTTTCAAACATGGCTCCCCTCCTTCACGACTCTGAAGCAGAGAGCTGAATTGGAGCTGCAGAGCAATCTGTTGGAAGGCGCCTGGAGGAATATGCAGCACAAAGACACTGGAACTTCATCTTCTTTGCTGGCTGCTCTGAACTGATTGAGGCGATTAATGATTTATCTCTCTTTAAAGAACTCCTTGGAGCTACATAGGCTCAAATCAGATAAAGCACACACCATTCCCTGACCAGACACCTACCAATTTTGGTTTGTCCTTTAGTCTGGGCACATCTAGTTTTACAAAGATCTGATTTAAATGGAAGTTTCTTGAGAGACATCACTTTGCCAAGCCTGTGTGATGTTCCTTCTGCGACCCCTGCCAGCCTGCAATCTTTTTAGTGGAGAAGGGAGTAGAATCTGAGAGCAGAAATCTGCCTTTCTGCTGAGAACGAGCAGATCCTGCATCCCTGTCCTGGATAAAGCCCTTGAACAATGTTTAGGGCTTGAGCTCATTTTTGATACAGGGACAAGTTTTACCTTGAAGAATGTCACAGCTATCTATCATCCTCCTCTCAGGACCAGAGAAATTAGGCAGCTCCTTCATCGAAAGGACATCTGTTGAAGTTTATTGAGAACTTAGGGATCCATCCAGGAAGAGGGTAAGAGGCTCTTCAGAAGCAGAAAGACACAGATCTGGCTGGTAGACAAGTCTTTAAGAAGTCAATACAGATGTTTCTGGAAATGTGCCAAAGAAAGTGTCACTCAGGGACATTGAATCTGACTCCCTCACAACAAAGTCAATGGAGTCATCTTGGTGAAAGCCTGTGCGGACCAACTGCTTGTCTGATTCACATCCTTTTTCATGGGAAACCAAAGCGGGACTTGTTCTTTGGGGTAAAAGACACCAAACAATTCCTTCATTCACACAGAGAATAAAAAAGATTCACTCACAGGCAGAAAATGTCTGCCAAATACAAGGCAGCTCCAGAGAAAAATGTCATTATAAAACACTTCATAGTTTGAAAGAAAATAAGCTGGGTGTACAACAAGGTAGGAACCATCTGCTTGGCTTCAGTGGGAATTTCCCCTGAGTAATCACTACATGGGTGGATAGATCATAAAATAGAGGGATTTTTTCCTCTAGTAATTAAATTTACTGGGCTTATGCAGAACAGTTTTTTGGCACAGGGTAAGATATGTATATGCAATACCTTAGCATTGTAAGGCTGCATAATTACAGTCATAAACAAGTCCATTTTGTTTAGCAGAGTCTGAAATGTTGTGTGATCGACGGCCATTCATTTGCTACAGCTCGTAAGTCCATTTTATATAGTTATTTCAAATTTCCCGTTCAGCTCCTGGTCCATGCACCCAAATGCCTTTTCCTTCTCTCAGCATCCAAGACAAATACCCGTTTGATGTAGTACCAGATTTCTCTAGGTAACTAAAATGTGAAGGAAGAACCATATTTGCTTCATCCTTCTTCATGACATCCAGACTAAACAGTTGGCCTTTACAAAGGTCTTCTGTAAAGCTGGGAGTAGGGAACATGAATCAACCAGGCAGGGGTCTGTATGACCTTGCAATAAATTGATAAGGTCCTTTGACTAGATATTTTTGGGCCTGAGCCATAAATTCTGGATTGGGATGTAAACTCAGACCCACTCCTAGTTTGTTTGCTTCTGCTATGGTATTTGGAATTAATATTGCAGGTAATGAATCTGCAGGAATTAATATTGCAGGTAATTTATATAATAATATGTATATATTATAATATATATTGTAATATTCTATATACATATTATAATATATATTATAATGTTCTATTGCTGTTGCAGTTAAGCTGCCCCGCTAAGTGCACGTAATTAAGCAATATTTACAGAGCAAGGGGATAAACTAATAATTACAGTGTAGTGACCTGGGATTCTTCAAGACTTCTTTTGGTTTCTGATTTTCTTCAAGACTTGCTTTTGCATTTTCACTTTTTTGCATTAAACATTTAATACCGTGACACCTCTTAACAACTGACCTTTAGAGGATGGGAACTAAGACAAATATTCTAATTCTGTGTGCTTTTCCTCACGTCTTCAAATAATATATATTCGATGTACTTTGATTTTCTGCATGTGATGAAGCCAATCTTCCGAGTTACGTGATGCAAGAAGGAGTGTTCTCCCTAGTTAAGCTACATTGAATCTTGTTGAATTACTAAGTTTGAATTTTCCAGTTACCAAGAGAGCAGAAAAGGTCAGGAGAAAAAACAACATTCGTCCAGTACTGCCTGTAGTATTGATTGAAAAATCATAAATTACATGTGAAAACAAAAAAGAATAATTATTTTCTAAGCCAAGGCTCCGACAAATCCCCATTGTGGATATATCTCCATGAAGAGGAACTTCTTTCCTGTGAGGGTGACAGAGCCCTGGCACAGGCTGCCCAGGGAGGTTGTGGAGTCTCCTTCCCTGGACGTCTCCAAACCTCCAGGGACACCACCCTGTGCCCCATGCTCTGGGTGTCCCTGCTGGAGCTTCGGCAGGCTTCGACTGGTGATGACCTGGCTCTGTGAGCTTTAATTAACCTTAACGAGGCAGAATTATAATAACAGATTGTTATTATTATTACATCGCAGAATAAAGCACACCCTATAGGATTAGGGGGAATATATAGGGGGAAAGTGCTCACGTGGGTCTGGCCATCTCTGAGCCAAGGAGGCAGATGGGGGAGTGGGTAGGGGGCTCCTGCAACCTGCCCCCAAAAGACAACCCAGTGGAAGTCAATACAGGAAAGACCTGCTGGATCCTGGTCAGTTTTACTAGCGGTTACTACGGATAATGTAATAGGAATAAAGTGCCAAAATAGGTTTAATACAAAATCTATAAACCGCAGTATTTTGTGCATGTCTGCTTTAAATCCAGGCAGCTCAGAGGTGCAGCTGCCCTCTGCAAACAGCTCAGGAGAGGGCCAGGAAGGGCTCTCGATTTAAAGATCCACTGTTACTGATGGTTGTGTCCTCCCTTGGACAGGGAAGGGGCAGAGCCCTGGGATCAGACAGGCTTTATTGACTTGATTCCTTCCCCAACAAACAGACAAACCTCAGAAAACGAGCACGGTAGCTATTTTACGAGATACAAAAGCCAGCATTAAATTACAGCCCTCAAATCGGCAGCTCGGCGCCCCTGGTCGTATCTTCTTTCCTCCCCTTCCCCTCTAATTTCCGCCGGTGCCCCGGCCATTAGCAGCAGCCTCATCATCCCGCTGCCCGACGATCCCGCTGCCCCGCATCCATCCATCGATCCGCTGGTGGGCGGCGGCGCCGAGGGAAAAGGTCCGCGCGGCCGCCCGCGCCCTCCTGCTGCGCCTCTTGCTCCCGCTCCGACCTCCCCATCGCCGCTCACACGCTCAGGGCTAAGGGCCTCCCTGCAAAGCCTGGCCTAAATCTAACTGCCAGGGCCGCAGGGTGGGCAAAACGCTGCAGATGCCACCACAGTGGCAGCTCCTTCCCTCGCCCGTGCCCTGCGCTTCCAAGAGATTTTCCAGGCTACAAGGATACCGAGCCAGAAGCTGCACTGCTTGCGTTTGCAGCTTCTTCGCGGAGTTTAATCCATCAGCTTGATTTTTTTTTCTTTTATCTCTCCAACTAACCTGTGGGCACATTCTTGCTCTCCCTTTTCATTCTTTGCTTGATACATCTGTTCTTCTGTTCTGTTTCCCTGTCTTTATTTTGCTGCTTTTGGGGATCAAAGGATAAAGGCAATAAAAATCCTGTTACTTTACAAAGGGCCGCACAGCAGTAGATAATTGGTTTCCAATCAAGCCCAGACTGCCTTTGATCTTTTAAGTCCTCGCCAAGAACATTTCTCCAGGACACGAGTGTATGTGTTCAAGAGTCCCGCCAGGAGATCTTGTGTGGAAAGTCTACAATTACCTGTGCTGTGGCACCCACAGAGATGAGAAGGGCTGATAACAATGCTGTGTTTTTATACCAATTTCCATTAACCTCTCATTAATGAGATGTAACTACACCCTTCTGCAAAGAGACTTGCAGGGATTCCTAGCTCTGGCGCCCGTCGCACCTTCATGGTTGTGTTGCAACGAGCAGGGAGAGATTCACATTTGAGTATGTCTTAAATCAGCTTTGCCACCAGAAGAACTGCAACGGGAATCCGCAGCCTTGCTCATCCCTGAAAGCAGTTCATCCGTTCTGTGGTTTGCAGCTCCTTCACCTTCCACATTCACTCTGTGTCCTCCTCTCCCCACACACACTTAACTCCCAAATATATTAAAAGGCAAAGCGTGATCACTCCAGAAACACACGAGATACTTGGGATGCAATGACTGATTTAGTTTTGCAGGCATTTTTTTAACTTATTCTTCATGCCAGGCCTGTCCATTATCAAAAGATTTTCTTTCTATTTATTAAGGCAGGATTAGTTTGTGCAAATTAAAGAGGGAAAGCTCACGAGACGCACGCAAATACACGTGCATACCAAAATCTGCACCTGATTCTGTCTCTTTAAACAAAATTACATACATTCAGCTTAAAGGAGGACTCCTGCCAAGCTCCTCGCTTAGAGCAGCTACCAATTGCACGGTCAGAATTGCTCTCCCAGGTCCTGAACAGGTCTCTTAGTGACAGAGCAGCAGTAGCTCCTCAGAGCGCTTTGTCCCCTAAGGAGGCAGCGCTGGATGGTTTCTGGCTCAGGCCTGTTGGAAAGAGCGGAATGGTTTAAAGCAGGAGCACGAGCTCCCTTGAAACACTTTGAAATAGCGATCCAGGAAACCAAGGGAAAAATGGATGGCTGAGAACGGCAGCCCGTGCCGAGTGCTCCGCGTCCTGCACGTTGCCCCTTCGGAATAATTATTGTGTGGAGAGGTTGTCACCAAAACAATGAAATTATTGGGGAATGTGATTATGTGGGAGCCAATCCAAAGGAAAACGTGGGCTGCTACAACAAAATTTTCATGTCCACTGCTTGCTGGGGTAAGTAGCGCTAAGCAGCCGAGTGAAATTTTGTGTGTCTATTTTTGGAGCCTGTTCGTGCCCAATGTCAGAGTGGTCATTTTTTATTCTGGTTAAGCGGGAGGCAGTTGCAGAGCAGAACTTGTCTTGAGTAGCAATGCCTGGATTCAGCCCAAAAAATAAGAGCTTTCGCTATAAAGTGCCTGATTGGAGGCAGGACTGGGATGTTCTCTTGCTGTGTTAATGGGGGTGGTGGGGTTGAACCCCGCTGCAGTCTCCAAGCAGGGGCTCCAGGGTCAGTTACGTGTAAAATGTAAAAGCTCTCTCTATATTTCTCATCTCAATTTCTCATTAACAGATAACACAATATCTAGATAACAGCAGCACCCATCCCTGCTTTGTCACAGTCCTCCTCCTGCTACCAGAAAGGACTTTTTCTGCAGTGTTTGACCAGGTATTTGACCAGGTATCCTGGCCTTGGGACACTGTGGTGCACCAGTTGTCCATATCAAATCTCAGTTTCAACCTGCAGAAGATATTATCAGGTATTTGGGTCAATTGGCTTTCTAGGTCCAGGCGTGTCCGTTGGAATCACAATGGATAAGGTCAGTACTTGTTGGGGGGTCCCTCTCATGCTCATGTATATGATAAACCTGAAAAACTCCTGTAGAAAACTGAGTCAAGGAATTGCATACAACCTGTATGTAAAAGAGTTCAATGAAGTTGTAAAGCCTGATATATGTAATTATCATTTGACAGCTTGTCATTTGCAACCATAAATGTGAGAACTCACCACAACATGTCACTAATTCACTTGCTCCAGACACTCCAGAACGAACAGCCCCGTTGCTCAAAACAACGAGCCCAAATTTACTCTCACTTCAGGGATAAACGACACAAATTTTCTAGGTGCAATCTTCCCTTTTTGAACAAAACCAGCCAGAATTCCCTGTGGGAATTTCACATGGGAGACTTGGTAGCTCTCCAAGAGCAGGACTGGAGCTGTCTCCTGCCTCCCTCGTTGAACAGACCACATCTAGCCACGCCAAGGCAAGTGTGCTATGAAATTCTATCAAGTACTTAAAATACATTATTTTGTGTTTGATATCAACAAAAAGGCAGCCTTTTTTTTCAGAAACTTGCCCATTATAAAATTGGCATTTAGAATTAGTTCTAAAATAAAAAGTGGCTTTGTGCTGCCTTGATCTTTCAGGACGTAAAAATTAAGGTCTGATAAATTCTGTTTTCCTGCCCATTTCCCATCTTAGCATCACCAAGTCTTACTGTGATTTATTGTTGGATACTAGCTGAGTCCAAGCTGAGTTATGATTCCAGTAAGGCAGATATTTGATCTATATAGCAAGAGATTACATGTTAAAGATCATACTATTTTGCTGTACAGTTTACAGAATCACAGACTGGCTGAGGTTGGAAGGGACCTCTAGAGATCATCTAGTCCAACCTCCTGCTCCAGCAGGGACACCCAGAGCACAGGGTGACATCCAGGCGGGTTTGGAAGATCCCCAGAGAAGGAGACTGCACAGCCTCCCTGGGCAGCCTGTGCCACGGCTCTGTCACCCTCACAGGAAAGTTGTTCTTCCTCGTATGGAGATTTTAGCCACTATTCCTCCTCCTCCTAAATTCCTGCAAAGAAAAAACACTCTAGTAGTTTTGAAATGATGGCATTAGTAAGACAGAATAGAGAGGTTTCTTTCCTTTGCATGAGGCTAGAGCAAAATTGAAATTCTGGAAATAAACACACTATGGAGAAACATGCTGCTAAAGTAAAAAAAAAATCAGTCTCTGAAAACCTTAGGAAATAAAAATTCATGACTGAGAAAATAAAGCCAAATTAAGAAATAGCAGCTTGACAGGTGCTTCCTGCGGATACGGAGATGAGGGAAGTAGAAGTGGTTTCTTCACGCAAAGGCTAATGAAGCTGCAGCGAGCGGGTGATTTGTGTCTTCTCTCCAGGGCAGCTCAGCACGGAGCAGGGACCACGGGCCCAGCTCATCAGGATCCACCACCTGCCACTTGTGGTGGGTGCTGCTCTCGCACTGGGGTTGTTGCCTGGGCGAGGCTTCTTTGGGAAGGCTGCAAATGGCCTTCCTCGGGTCGCTGCAGCTTGCTGCATCTACAGCAGACTTGAGTGGAGCAGCCCCTGTCCCTGCTCTCTAGCAGAACAAACCCAAGTTGCTCAGGTGCCCCTGTTTTGCTGGGAGTGTCAAACAGCAAGAGAGACGTTAACATCTTAGCTCCTCTCACCACTCAGCCAGGCTGGTTTCCTGTTTTAACACTCCATGTTTTGCCCAGACTCATTCTAAATGTGTCCTGTAACAGGCTCCTTCCAGCTCTCCTGGGAATTTAGCTCCATTCATGTCAGGATGTTTTCACTGATACCAAGTATTGGTTTCCTTCAAGTCAGCACTTCAGTCTCAGTTGCTGTCTGATAAATTAGGTTCTCCAATTCCTTCAGTCTCGGTGCTTCAGCCTTTCCCCTTTACCGGGGAGCAAAGTTCCTCCCGTTACCTTGAGCCATCTGATAAACGTGGTCACCTCCACTGTCCTTCTCTCTTCAATCAGCTGCCCCCCTTTAATTAATATCTGCTTTCCTCAGAACTCCCCGCAGTCTCGTTACACATTTCTGCTGTGCACAAGAACTTGCATTTTGGCCAACTTCACCTCTCCAAGCTGGAAAATGACATAACATAGACCTCAAAACATAGTAATGGGAACATCTGAGTTTTGCTGGTCGCTAATGCAAACTAGTTGGGGTTCCCCGTGAAGAATATCCTCCCTTCTTTCCAAAATTCCTTATTCCAGAGAACTGTTTCTACTGTTTCTATTAAAATCTATTAAAACCAGACTGACCTCTACTGAAAAGGAAGATGCATAAGCAGCATATCCCACACTTGGCTCCACATTCCTGCAGGCTAACACACTATCAGGCTTCACAAGTGCTTCTCCTTCCTTTCACATATTCCAGGATTTTCCGGTATGTAAAATGTTTAACCTGACTAGGGGATCCCTGCAACCCGCTACGGAACTACGAGGCACCCGAGCAGACAGGCAGGAACAGCAGGATCGAGCTGGATTATCAGTTACAGGGCACTTCTTGGTCACAGTTCTCAGTTCCACAGTGCTTTTCCAGCAGATTTCATACTGTCAGCAGCACTTATGGTAATTAATAGCAGGAATTTAAGGAAGAAAAATAAAAGGTTTCAGCAAAGCACAAAATACACACACTATTACAGCAAGGGCCATTTAAACAGCCCTGACGTGTGCCGAGATGCAAAATTCTGTGATGCATCTTTCATGTCATTACAGATCTGTCTCCAAAAGCAATACTGGCAGCTTGTCCAAATTTGTAATTTCGTAGAATTTAACTTTTCACACTTTCCTTCTTTTCTGACACTCCTGAGAAGCCCATGACACCTGAAAACTTGAATCCACCATATGCTCCAGCTGATTCCTGAATTATTCTTCAATTCTCTTGCTCATCCTTCAAAGAGAACCTCAGCCAACAAAGGCTGCATCAGGAATATATGGGTTTAGGCCAGAAGGACTCATACAAATTGTGACAGATTCACTTCTCTGAACATTAATCCACTTTAATCCAATTGGATCACACTCCAAGGGAATACAAAAACCCTTCAGGCTTTCACAGCACCAGCACTGCTAGTATTTAAAGGTTAACAAATGCAGCAGAATCTGTGCTACTTCCATGTATGCTGGGAGCTGTGGCTGAGATGCTGGTAACAAGTTAATGAGGCCGAGATCTCACACCCATGGGCTCTGTTTCCCTTCGGGAGGACACGGAGCCCCAACATCCCACATGGGAACACGAGCGCTCACCCGCTCCGGCATCCCCTGCCTTCCAGGGCATCGATGCAAGGGCAAAACACATGAAAATCCAGCGTGTGCAATTCCAACAACTACCACAGTTCCTGGAGAACCAAATTATCCCTACAGATCTATACACCTTACTCAAGAATCAACTTACCCCTACATCTCCAGGACACCTCACTCAGGCACCGCTAACAAACATTTAGGGTGGCAAAGGACAATCTGAGACCCAAGAGAATAGGGTAAAGATCACCAGAGCAATCAAGAAACTATCATTTATGATCTTGCTGTTGCTCTCTTCTTTCAGAGACACAAGAGCACTTGCAGCTGTTAAATACTGAGGAGGAGGAAAGGCCTAACATCCAAGTGGAGCCCTCAAACAGGATCACACAGAGCAATGAGATTTTTAAAAAGTGAAAAACTGTAATTACCCCCCAAATACAACTGCATAATATATAAAAATAAATAACACTGTCTTCTTCCAAGGCCTGCAGGAAGAGCCAATGCTAATTCATACACAACATCTGCATCCAATTCAATAAACTAGTGTTGTGACTGAGGCAGCCTGCACTCAAATGCAATGGAAAACCAAGGGCTTGACCTGCTGCAGCCTTGAAAGACAAGGCTCTCAAGAAGAGCAGATATCCATCTGTACTCAGGTAGTCTGTATCCTGCCTATTTCCCTCAGCTTCACATTTTCTGTGCAAAAATATGGTAATTCACTGAGCCCTGCACAGTATGGGAAACTGGCTTATTCCAAAGATGCTGTAGTGACAGGAATAACATATACACACATATACATATATATAAAAAAATCAAAGGACCTGAAGATCAAAAGCATGATGTAAAGTACAAGACCATGAACGTTTCACTTTCTGCTTTGTCTCATCCTATTTGGGATTCTGCAATAATTTAAGTAGCCGCTTCATTTAAATTAATTTATTTTGAGAATATCCCTTTTAATCCTGCATGCATTTTTAGCACAAAAAATGGATTTTTATCACAACCTCCTTTGTAAAACTTGATTTTGTATGTTCAGTACTGTGGCTATTTCAATGATTCCTCATCGGAAATCCCACGACTGTGGAACCTTGGTGACACTGGCAGCCAGTGACCTACACAAAGTTCAATAGAAAAATTTTACTGCATACCCTCTGTTTAATGTAAACAAGGCAGGAGGCAAAACAAGGAGTATATGTTTTTATACAGTCACACCATTTTACAGGGCACAGAAAGCACTGGGAATCATGGCATGGAAACCCTGTATGCTATGCAATAGCATCTGCAATATCTGCTATCTGCAATAGCATCTGCAATAGCAGATACAGTTTCCCATATAACCCAAAGTGTATTACATCATCCATACATTTTACCTAGCATCCAAATTTTAGCAAGAGAAATAGTGATAATAAAAGGGTGTTTGTGAATTCATATTGCAGATTATGGTACGTAATAGCCACACGTGTACAAAGCCATTCCATGACCACTTGTGCCCTGTAAAATCGAGTGCAAACTTTACACTGCTCATAGTGTAAGCAAGCTGGGGACTCTGGCCCTTGTACATATATACACAGGTGATGTACAAGCAGATTCAAGCTGTGCATCAAACCACAGCTTTTATATTGCACAGACAAATACATAATAAGAACATTACATAGACAGGAGCTGAATACTAGGACTAGTACAGTCTTAAGAGAAACGGACTAGGGACAAACTTGGTCTACCGGAGCTAGCACGTTGCTCATTACAAATGCTCCCTACCAGACTCTAAATCAAATACATACAATACATGGGAAAAAAATAGGTGTCTATTTACACGCATGTGCATCAGGGTTAAAATGCAGCTTGGATCTGTTTTGTGGAACCCAACATTATTCTCGTATTTCCCCTCAAGTATTGCAATCCAACAGCAGTGACCATGCTCCCCAAAGCGGGGAGCACCCGCACTGCCCGCGGCACCCGGAGCGTCTGCTGCCAACTCCAGGCCAGTGACTTCTCAGGTGCCAACGGGTGGGTAACAAATAACCTGCAAACACCAACAGCCAGGAACAGAACGGGCACCTCGACGGCGTGCATAGACGGGAAAGGTGAAAACGGGGACCTGAACTAACTTACTAAGGTTTACCTTTTTTTCAAAAGTGCATGAAAAGAAAAATCGCAAGACTTAAAAGAGTTCCATATCTTAAGGAATATTAAATCATCTTTCAAAAAACAACCAAACAAAACCCCAATGGTCATTTTTATCATGTATGGTAGTTAAGGGTTTGCAGGCAACACTCACATTAGCAGTTTAGGCAACGGAAAGCTTAAGGTTCGTTTCACTTGCTGTCAGGATGCATCTGTATCTTATAGATTTATCAACTGCACATTTGGTTTAAGACACCACCAATGTTTCCAAAAATCAAACCACTATATCCTGAATTTAAGCATACTTATAACTATATCCCCTTATCTTTTCATGAGCAAGCTTTAAGGGATTGGGCTTGCACCCTGGCAGGCAATTCTGCAGTAAAATACTGCAGAGGTTGCAGAAGTCCTTCCAGACTGACTGATACTGCTGGCTACAGCGCAACGAGCCCAGGTACCAATGATGATGATGACAACAACACAGGTGATGTTAGTAATTTCATTTCAGATTGGCCACCTCTTGGATGGCTCTACAAATTGTTATATTGCTTGGAATGCTCTCATGTGAGTTTAATTTAACTCTCCTCTCTTATTTATAGCAGTATTATCACTTCCAGTTTCCACTGAAATTGGGGCATTAGAAATATTCTAGAACCTAAGTCTTTTAAAAATAAATAATGAAAATAGGAATTCTGAGGAAAAAGTAATTAAGCTCAAGCAAAACCAACACAGAGCCAAATTCAGAACAGCTCCAGCATCCCAGCTCCACAGCTTCGCTTCACAAGTCTAAGAGACTGATTTAAGGAGCTGCTTGAAATTACCTTATGTTTAACTGCTTTGCTCAATTTGAACCTATGTTATAACAACTCTGCATAGGCGTTTACATATTCTGAACTTTATGTCAGATACGTAATATTAAGCTTCTCATATGGACTGACTGCAAATGACTTAAAGAACAAAAATGAAAAAACTGTCATTTTCATAAACCTTATCCTACTTCGACCAGAAAATACTATAGGGCTAAATTCAAGGGAAAAATAAAGAGGTGGGGAAGTAAACAATGCTTTTGTTTGCCAGCTAAATCCAACAGTGTAAGTAGAAGCCTCTCAGTACACAGAGCACCTTAATACTGGTTTTACCTGCAAAAGCTTTTGCTCAATATAGAATCACAGTGAGCCCTTCTTCCCAACCTAACTTGCACTGGAGGCTTTTATGGCAGGACCCTCTTCACTGGCGTGATAGGAATAAGTTAAGGAATAAGACAAGGAATAAGCCTGGTAACTGTGACGCTGCTCTAACTAATCTGCTAACTTAAAAGGCCTCATAACTCTTCAAGATTCTGGAAGTGAAAGAAAAAAAGGTCTCGAAGTCAGGGATTCAGGGCGAAATCCAATTCCAGCGACAACAAAGTACATGCAGAGGAGTTCTAGTGACTGAGTAAATTAGTCCATATTTGTATGACAGTAATTGCATCTGGTTGTGCAAACAGGGCATTAGGAAAAAATAAAGAAAAATCAAAGATACAATGTAAACAAAGAATTAAGCTCTACTTCAGCTGCTTATATGATCATGTCCATAAGTGGGACTGGGCACAAAGCAAAGCAGGTGTCTCATCCAAATCACTCCGTGTGATTTAATGTTTTAAGCAGGAGCCTCCTGAACCTGCTAGTGCAGATGTGGCCATGACAGACACGCACTTCTGCACCACAAAACCACAAAGGGGAAAAAAAAGGGGTAAATTTTGGTCCTAAAGCAACACTTTAACTGACCTGGCGCCAGTTCTTCTCTTTTGGGGCACTACTGCTAAGGTTAAATAAGCACTAAAACCATTTCTAAAAATGACAAAACATTTACGCTGAGAATTTTCAAGGCACAGAAGATTCTTAAACCAATTTAGCTATTTAAAAGGAGTTAAAAACACTGTTTCAGTAAGTACTACTGATGACCTATAATCAGCTTCCCTGTGAAAGATGCCATGAGATAAACAACTAAAATTCACAAACAAAAACCTAACCCAAATCTTTCTACACAGAAAACCTGAAGAGACATCATTTGAGAAGACAGGGAAAAACATGCTAGAAACATGTGTCCTTCAGACATACTTTCTATGGATGCAACACTGAATCAGGGTTAATTCCATTAGTATTGATTTTATGCTGATATCTCCTGGAGTAATCACTAGGGAATCAAACTCAAGAGTTGCCTTTATAATTCACCAAAATAAATACAATCTCTCATGAATATATCCCACAGGATAGGGAGCAGTGGATCTTTTCAATTCTCTTCATTTTTAGTAACATCCATTGCAAGTGTGGTTCTGATTTCCCTTTATATTTCCAATCAAAAAAGCAAGAGGTAAGACATGAAAATGTTACCAAATTAACTTGCCATTTTATAAGTAATAAGGTCACAAAAAGCAAATGGGTGCAAGTGAACACAGGAAAGACCTAACTCCCTAAACACTGTCATCACAACAGAACGATAACCAAGGTTTGATGTCTGTGGTTCTTCATACAGATTTTGCAGCTCTTCAACAATGGCTGGAAATGTTAGGTATTGGCTTCTCCTCAATCCCTACTGTTGCATCCCAGGTCCATTCGAATCCATCTCTCTTGCAAGGCAGCAAACACCAGCGGGCAGAAGTAACCTATCTTCCAGTTCTGCCCAAGTTGACATCCCCAGGAGATGCCACCTCTTTCTACCTGCGCTGTGGCAATAGTCTTTGAGGGGAAGAGGCCCGGAGCTTCCAGAGGCGGCGGCTGTCAGGGTGTGGATGAGGCATGGTACTTCACGAAGGCGATGGCCGCCAGCTCCTTGCAGAATTCCTCCAGCACAATCACGCCCTCCAGCAACGTCAGGTGGTCAATGCTGAGGAGGGGAACACAACCCAGCAGAGAAGTCAGCACCGGCACACAAACAACCCCAGTGTGCTTTGGGGAACACACAACGTCTTTTACTCACACAGGCCCTTCAGGCTCCAAGCCCAGCAGGCGTTTTCTGACCAGCAGGAGTTTGGGAGTGAAGTCTGGGATGCGCTGGATTCTGACCATGAGGTCCCCAACAACCTGCAAAGCACGGATTGAATGAGCACTTTTCACACCTGAGCTACAGACTCACACTTCAGAATTGCCACAGACTCAAAGCAACGTGCAGAGCAGTCATTGCACAACAGGGAAGAGCAAGGCCACTGAACACCAAACATATTAACAGGCACCAGAAATGTGGGCACAGAGATTAAAGATACAAATCTTAAGCCTTACTTGCTGTTGCCATAAATAGGTAAATTACTCACTTTAATGATGCCAATGATTAATTTGCCTTAGAAAATGTTAATCAAGGCATGTTGGCCAGGAAACTTGTGGGGTTGCAAAGCAGGGAAAGTGAAGATCGTTTGAAATAGAGGAAGCTGCTGAGAGAAAGGAGCTAGACCCTCTGTCAGTACTGGGGTTGTTAACCCCAGTAAGAGGGGCAGAATGAAAACAAGGGGATTTGGGGTAAGTGAAGGATTTGGTTACTGCGTAGGATGGGGAAAGAGGCCTCCAGCAGAGGATTCCCAGCCGGGCACAGGGCGCTCAGGAGCCAACCGTGCTCTGGGGGAAGCAAAACCCAGGGCCTCTCCGGTGCCAACCTGTTCTCTGCCTGTGCCCAGGGCCTTAGGTGGCGCTGGCGGCAAATGACAACAAGGGGACCAAGTCAGACAAAGTAACAGCACTGCCAGTGGGGATATTTTACATCTACACAATCAAACAAAGCAAACACGGTACGGGAAATAACTCTGAAAGGAGGCACAAAGAAAAAGTCCTAGGAAAAAATATTTTCCAAAGTTTTTTTTTGTTAGAAAAAACTTAGGTTTTTTTTCAAAACAAGAATATGAGGACCTATTTTCAGTATCCAGTCCATTGCTAACTTCATTATATTGCAATATTCATTACTGCACTTCTCATTGCTGTATAGCTGCATGTAAACATTAACTGCATGTTTACTCACCCTGACAATAACAGAGAAGAGAGACCTACAGCCAGAGGCGAGGTTTATATAAGGGTCCAAAAGGTATTCGTGTATATGAGGATGAGGGAACAAGGAGAGTTTGGACAACACTGATGTAACTTGTAAATTCACATCATAGGGCTGGAAAAAAAAAAGAAAAAAGTGAAACAGTAAAACACAGAGCACAGTTTAGGTATTTTCTTGTTGGTATGCTTGTATTTACTAAAACTTTACATACTAGGCTATATTAGATAAAATTGAAATACTAGATTAAAAGGCAGGCCTAAAAACTCATGCTTTCTACAAGAATGTGGAGAATGACATTTAAGTTAGATAGTAAATATCTGCATAATTGCTACAATCACAGAAAGTCCCACAAGTTTCCAAGCAGGACTACTGCATAGGTGCTTTTTAAGCAAAGCTTTTGCAAACTTCTAGCTTGTTGGCTAACTCTTTTTGCAACAAAACCACCATCCAGCTAAGCAGCTAAGCAAACTGCACAGCATCAAAATAGAGGAAACAACTGTTTGCTTCTCCTGGATAACTCCAAACTACATGAGCTTAGGAAACTCAGACAGGAATCCATGATTGCAGCTAACATGATGCATGTCTTATTTTCAATTTGCTTGGAAAGAGCCATTGCAGAAGGCCCAGTCATCTCGTGCAGTCTGCAGGAACTGCTACGGGAGACAATCCTGGGAATGCAGCACTAAATATTCCAAGCCTCTTCTCTGCCTCCTTTCTGCAGATTAAATGCATGCAAGAGGCAACACTGTCAGAAGCTACATGAATAATAAGGACTCTCCAGGGACAGACACCAATTGTACCTTGCTGAGCAGATTGCCACAGCCCAGGGAGAAACTCATTTCCAAAGGAACAAAGTATTTTCCTCACAGTTTGTTTCGAGCCCTTTTTTCCAGCTTTGATTATGTCACCAAGATCACAGTGGAAACAAACTGACATTTTGGTTCAACTGAGACTCTCCAGACTAGGGGATTTTCTTCCCCCCGTCATCAACACTGTCTGTTCTACTACTGACTAGGAGACAAGGACAGACAGTCCCTTGTTATACAGCTAAGCCAGCCTCTTTGGTGATATATTGGACCTGAACAGCCTTGAAACAAGTCACTTGTCTCCGTGCCTCACCTCCCTTCTCTCAGAAATACATTTTATGATGCTAACTTCTCCTAGAAGGTTCTGCTGTTAAAAATGGCTAAAGATTAACTAGCTATAGGATTAGGAAAGAGCAAGAAGGATATTGAACACAATCTGCAAGTAGTCCCATTTCCTCAGTGAATGCTTTTCTACATTTTTCAACTTGGAACATTTAAATTTGACACAATGTGTGCTAAGGTATCACATGAACTGACACAATCTATTTTTTTTTAATTTATTTCTCCTGTGTGGTTTTTCTGTCATCATGAGCCATAGGAAGCCGTTTGATTTTTTAGGACAAGACTATAGCAGGATATAGCAAGAATTTACTCTGATTCAGGCAGTTTGCTCTAATTCTTCCAGAACTCAGCTTCATTTTAGACACCAGACATTAACATCTTGCTCGACTGAGGCCTTGCTTCAAGCTGACAATGGGTCTATCAAAAAGGGATACTTTTTGGCACTTCAGTGCCCTATGCTGTTCCTGTTACAATTATCTGCTATTTCTTGGGAGAACATAATTTACTTCCTTGATTTATGCATCACTGTTCAGATGAGGCTTTCATATAGGAGTCTTGTTTTGCCTAAAAGTTGATGACACTCAGATGTCTTCATGACTTCAATCTACAAGCATTGCAACTCGAAGTTTGTCAGACACGTTACAGGAATCAAGAGCTGGCAAACAGGTGATGGAGAATTTGAGTTACAGGAGCTGGTGATCCCAGACATCCTCTTCCCCCAAGCATTTGTAGGGCAGCCCGGGCAGCTGCTGTTGCTCTCAGGACACACTTCCCGAGCATCCAGATGCTCCCTCTGTGCTCTTGTGCTGATCGACAGAAATCTGGCCCCGCTGCAGTTGAACGCAGCTATCAGAGGTAGCTCCACATGTAAAACGGAACGAAATGGTATGAACTTCCCCCCAACTGCTGCTACTGCATCTAAAGCAGCTGCATCTGGCATTACAGGGAAGGTAACACATACTTTTTAGCCTTGATTTCACTAGCAAGAGGTTTCTTCATCTGAAGCAGCAATGTTCACCTCAGACCTTAGGGACAGAGCACAGCAAAGGTAGAAAAACATGGTCTTTTCAGGTAAGGTGATCTCCTCCTCACCTCCTAAGTGCTCATTGATCTGCTTGCTCCCCAGGAAGACTAGGCCATGCAGAAAGACTAAATACAGAAAGAGGCACAGGAAAATGTACTCCCTATAAATTCCTCTCCACTAATCCAGGTCTGACATCTTTTTTTTCATAAAGTCAGCTTATATCTCATGTGTTCGGCCTTGCAGCTTTGATTTTAATAGAATAAAATAAAACAGGAGGAAAAACAAAGCCCTTTGTTAAACAGGAGATGGAGAAGGGCACCTTCCTGAAACCTTCTCCCATGCATCATTCATGCAATGGTGATTTTTTTTTTTTTTTTTTTGCTAATAGTGGAAAAAAATTGAGGGAAATGTAATAGTGACACAATAATCTGTCTCCAGCTCACAGGGTGAAGTGTTTTCTGAACAAGATTTCAGATTAAATTTCCTTGAAATGTTGTAGAAAGAAGCTGTAAAATATTTTGTTTACTTAAAAAAAGGCATGCCTTTTAAGCACAAATGCTGGGAAA